TGCCGAGGACAGCTGATGTGTGCTAAGTGTGGCACAACCGGCCACAGCGCTGATGATTGTAGTCATGACGAGGTCCTCTGTGCTAACTGCGAAGGTAGTCACCCCGCATACTCCAGAGCGTGCCCAGCCTGGAAAAGAGAAAAAGAAATAATAACTATAAAAGTTAAGGAAAATATCACATTTAGGGAAGCAAGACAACGGGTCTCGTTATCATTAGCACTAAAAACACCTTTTGCCGAAGTGGTGCAACGAGGGGCGGCACCACAAAGGCCCTTGGCAGTTGCCCGGACCGCGCCTAGCGTGCCGAGGCCAATGCCACAAGCCCCTGCGGCGGGAGCAGCCAGCGCTGCCCTGCCCATAATCAGCCTGTCCACACCAGTAACCTCTACAAGCTCTGGCAGCAGCCAGGGCAATCACGAGGCCAAGGGGGCTTCATCAACCCCCAGCTCGGTGGGGACAAAGACTTCGTCGATTGAGGCGCAGTCTAAGCGATGCACAGACCGCTCTGTAGAGCGGGCGTCCAGTGCCTCGCAAGAGGCTATGGACACCAGTCCAAGCCAAACGGCGCAGGAAGCGCTGAAGGAGCGGCGAGCTTCGCTCGACCGCCCCACAAAGAACAGAACGCCAATTACAGGGCCTGACAAAGGCCCTGTAAAATGAGCTAATTTCCGTCTTCTCTGCACACAGCACTTTTCCCTTCTTTTTTCTACTATGGACAACATCATACAGTGGAATGTAAGGGGAATACTTAGAAATTTAGATGACGTCCAAGAATTTCTGAGTAAGTTCAACGTGAAAGGGCTATGTGTGCAAGAAACGCACTTAACTCCTCAGCACAAGGACGCCCTACGACAATATATTATTTTCCGAAAAGACCGGGATGATGCTGTCGTACCATCTGGCGGTGTAGCCATTATAGCTGATCGTAGTATAGCATGCCAACATTTGAAGCTCCAAACGGCCCTTGAGGCAGTGGCCATTCGAGCTGTACTTTTTAACAAACTCATTATCATATGTTCTGTGTACATACCACCGCATCAACAGCTACACAGACATGATCTAGAATCATTAATAGACGAACTCCCAGAGCCGTTTCTGGTTCTAGGTGATTTTAATGCACACAATGTCCTGTGGGGCGATGCTCACTGTGATGCGCGAGGACGTCTCATTGAGCAGCTCCTTTTCTCTTCTAGTTTATGTCTTTTAAATATAAAAGAGCCTACGTATTTTAGCCTTGCAAACAACACGTACTCCTCCATAGATCTTAGCATTTCATCGCCATCCCTTTTACCTGTTTTTAAGTGGAACGTTCTTAAAAACCCTTATGGGAGTGACCACTTCCCAATCATCCTGAGTGCGCCGAACAAAGATCAACTACCCCCGCAGGTTACTCGATGGAAGATTGACTCAGCTTACTGGGAAGGGTATAGAACTCTTACATACATGACATGAACTGAACTGTCTGCCCTGATCATAGATGACGCTGTCACGTATTGTACAGCTTTTATACTTGATGCCGCGTCTAAATGTATTGCCAAAACGAGCGGCATGTCTTCTAAACGGCGAATCCCATGGTGGAACGACGCATGGAGGAAAGCACGGACCACTCAGAACAAAGCATGGGCGTTGCTTTGCGATTTTCCTACAGCACAAAACCTGGAAAATTTCAAGCGGGTCAAATCGCAGGCAATGAGAACGCGCCGACAAGCTAAACGAGAGAGCTGGACAAATTTTATATCGAGTATAAGCTCGTACACAGACGAGGAAAAAGTGTGGAATAAGGTAAAGAAAATTAGGGGCCAACAAACGTATTCCCTTCCACTAGTAAATAGCCTCGGGGAAAGCTTGGAGGATCAAGCCAACTTTCTTGGCACACATTTCGAACATATATCGAGCTCCTCACACTACTCCGAATCTTTCCAGAATTACAAAGCTCGAATATAAAAACAAAAGTTAGAAAAAAAATCCGCAAAAAATGAGACATATAATGCACTATTCTGCTTATCAGAACTGCGAACATCACTCAGCTGCTGTAATATATCTCCCCCAGGTTCTGACAACATAATGTACGCAATGCTGAAGGAACTACCCTCCGAAACCAAAGAAACGCTCCTCTCTCTATATAATCGCATATGGTTTTCAGGTGTGATCCCCTCCTCCTGGATGGAGGCTGTTATAATTCCAATTTTGAAGCAGGGAAAGGATCCCTCTACTGTATCAAGTTACAGACCTATAGCGTTAACAAGCTGCCTCTGCAAACTATTTGAAAAAATGAATAATTGCCGCTTACTCCACTACTTAGAAACAAACAAATTGCTCGACCCACACCAGTGCAGGTTTAGAGAGGGCCGATCTACCACCGACCATCTTTTACGTATCGAGGCACACATACGTGAGGCTTTTGTTCATAATCAGTTTTTCTTATCTGTGTTCCTCGACATGGAGAAGGCCTACAATACTACGTGGAGGTTTGGAATATTGAGAGACCTCTCACACATAGGTACACATGGTAATATGTTCAGTGTCATTGACAGCTTTCTGCCTGATCGTACCTTCCGCGTTAGAGTGAGCAATGTTCTGTCCCGAACAATTGTACAGGAAACCGGAGTGCCACAGGGTGGGGTGCTAAGCTGTACGCTGTTTATTATAAAAATGAATTCTCTCCGTCTGTACATTCCAAGTAATGTCTTTTATTCAACATATGTCGACGATGTGCAGATAGGTTTTCAATCGTGTTCTCTTGGGATCTGTGAGCGACAGGTTCAGCTCGCCCTTAACAAGGTATCCAAATGGGCTGATGAAAACGGGCTCAAACTGAACCCACAGAAAAGCACCTGTGTCCTTTTTTCACGAAAAAGAGGCTTGCACCCTGATCCTGAACTGGTCGTTAAGGGTGAGCGTCTACCCGTAAACACAGAACATAAGTTCCTAGGTATAATTTTAGATGCGAAGTTAACCTTTGTACCGTACATAAAACATCTTAAAAATAAATGCTTGAAAACAATGAATATCCTGAAGGTGCTGTCGCGAACAACGTGGGGCAGCGACAGAAAGTGCCTCATGAATCTGTATAGAAGCCTTATACGCACACGTCTTGAGTATGGGGCAATAGTCTATCACTCTGCCACGCCAAGCGCTCTGAAAATGTTAGACCCTGTTCATCATCAAGGCATCCGCCTGTCCACAGGCGCCTTTAGAACAAGCCTAGTTGAAAGCATTTATGTAGAATCGGACGAGTGGTCACTCCATCTGCAGAGAACATACTCTTCCTTCATATATTTCCTTGAAGTAAATGCGAACAGTGAGCAACCTGCATATTCCACCATCAACGACCTGTCCAGCTCTCAACTTTTTTACAATCGACTCGCAATGGCACGCCCTTTCTCGCTGCGTGTTAGAGACCTAGCTGAAGAAACAGATGTCCCACTGCTTGAATACCACCTCAGCCCCCCCAGCTCTGCGGCTCCCGCCATGGCAGTGGCAGGTTATAGACTGTGACACATCTTTCGTAGCTGTCACAAAGCATGCCTCCCCCATACACATTCGGATGTATTTCTTAGAGCTGCAACATAAATATGACTGTCCAGAATATTATACTGATGCTTCCAAGTCCCATACTGGCGTGTCCTATGCGGCGGTCGGCCCATCCTTTTCGGATGCCGGCGTTCTGTCCACCAGCACAAGCATTTTTACAGCTGAGGCTTACGCATTATTCGTAGCGGTTAAACACATCAAAAAATTGAATACGCCAAAGGTAGTTATATACACAGACTCCCTGAGTGTCGTAAAAGCATTGAAAAATCTTAAAAAACACAGAAACCCTATCATTATATCCCTCTATTCAATACTCTGCGCGGCCTATACTTCCAAGCAACATATCGTCGTGTGCTGGTTGCCAGGACATCGCGGGATCGAAGGAAATGTGTTGGCCGACCAGCTCGCCAGGTCGATTAACAGAAGCTCTGCCAACTCCTCAGTTGCTGTCCCTATAATAGATCTAAAGCCAAACATACGGAAAAAGCTCAGGGCTTACTGGCAGAAGTTATGGGATCAACAAACTCGTAACAAGTTACACTTGATTAAACCATACCTCGGTAACTGGCCACCCACGTCAAAAACATGCCGTACAGAGGTCAGTCTCTGTCGGCTTAGAATAGGACACACACACAGCACGCACACACACCTTTTGTCTGGTGGTGACCCACCCAGATGTCACAGATGTGGCCGTCCACTTACCGTACTTCACATACTCCTTGAATGCTCTGAGCTAGAGGCTTACAGGAAAAAACATTTTCCACTAGCGTACAACGAACACATACCCCTTCACCCAGCTGTGTTTATTGGTCGCGAACCTCTTTTCAAATATAAAGCATTAAATGCATTCTTAAAGGAAGTAAATACTTTCCATGTTATCTACTCAAGTGATCGGTAGCACGGCCTCTGAAAAGAGGCTGCTGCTGCGGATGCTACATCCAAAAGAGCACCTGTCTCCCGGCCCTTGGGACCAAGAGCGCTGGCGAGAAATCGGTGCTAATATAACACTCCTATTTTATGATTTCATGATAACTAAAGACTCATTCTCACCAGGCATGCTTCACTTCACTTTCATGATTTTAATAAATATATATCTTACGCATCTTTAGAGCGCAGAACTTTAGGCCCTTTTACAGCCATTTACCATAACCATTGCTCCCATCCGACATCATTTCCTGGTGCTCTGTGGCCATCAACAGCCCTTGCGGCATTAAACAAGATATATCATCATCATCAGGAAGTCCCAGGCATATACGCAGAGTTTCTTGCTATAAAATTACTAGACGTTTCATTCTATACCCAGCGGCCCCCGAGAATAATACGCACCTAAATATTGTATTGGTTGCATGTACATGTTATATACCATTTACATCATATCTTATTCTGACATTCTCGTTCTCTTCCTTCACCCAAGCTCTTCCTTCACCCATGCTCGCGCTGTGTCTTGGTCCGCTGAAGTACCAACGATGCCTCTAGCAGTCGGGCTTGGCGTTTGCACGCCGGACGATCTCCTGATGGGATACCTTCTGGGGGCGGCACTGGCTGTATCCTGTGGTCGGTGTCGGTGACACGGAAACTTTTTGTGGGCGGCTGCCGAACATAAATGGGACTGTGGCTTTGGCTGTGACGCGAAGCGGGCAACGGACGTCACATGCCAGAAAAAGGTAGCCTTGATAGTTTCCGGGAAGACACACCGAGTGTCTTTGCTGGACGGTCTAAATCTAGCTCCTTCTAGATAGTAAATGTTCCGTCAACAGGCTGTGAGATCAGCGACAGGGCAAATTTTCATGCACTTGTGCTGGAGACTATTGCCACTCAACCAGCTGTGATTAGGTGTGAATTCGGGGAAGGAATGTCCTCCACTCAGCAGAAGTGACTCCGGTGCGTTTGTGAGCACAGTTTTGCGTGAAATGTGTTGTTTCAGTGCCTTCGCCCTGATGCAAGCACCCCTCGTGTCTGGCCTGCCTTTCTAGAAGGTAATTCAAGATCTTTAGAAGAGAACCCCGCTCGTGTCTGGGGTCGTTGTCAGCCAGGCCACCTGCGTTGTTCCCGTTTCGTTGGCTGCTGGTATACTCACAGCCGAAGGTGTCTCCCTCATTAAAAAATTGGCAGATCCCACGTAGAGCGGGAATCGAGGATATGAGAAGCACTAAAAAGAAAGGTTGATATGTCACTTTAAAACCAATACAACATTACGAGGTGGAGGTAAATGATGCCGTACATGGCTTCCGTGTCAAGATTATCATGTTCGGATGTGTCGTTTACATTCGTCATCTATTAACGTCACGTGATACCAAATTTAGTTTATGGGGAGCTAGCGAAACGGCCGCAAGCATGCAATGAGCGTGGTATGTTGTCATGTTCTTACATGACACACTTGTCAAAATTATCATATTTGCACCAGTCACATATTTTTTCATTTATTGACGTCACGTAGCACCAAATCTTGTATGTGGAGCTTGCAAAACCGCTGTGAGCGCATCATGAAGGGCCCAATATACGCCAATGTAGCGTTGACGCATGCACACGCTGGGTACAGCGACGCTGCGTTAGTAAAACGCGAGCACTCTATAATCGGACGCCAGGCGCAAACAGCGTCCGTCGGCGCAGCCCGAAGGCAACCACCGCGAAATGCGACATGCTGCAATTCGCGCCAATGCGTTACCCAGAAAACACTTCGTCTCCTTCTTTTCGCGACGGAGGGACGCCAGACGCGCTGAAACGTGCATGTGTCAAAGCAATGCAGCGCGGTGCGCGCCTGGGAGTATGTGGCAGGACCGCCACTTGGCGTGGCAACGCCAGCGTGACGCGACAAAATGAACGCTGGTGAGTATGCGCACCGTGTCACATCGAAATGTATTGGTGGCTTGACGATGGCATGTAGTCATTTTGTCACATGACACGCATCTCATTATTATCATGTTTGCGCCAGTCATATACCTTCATCATTCATTGGCGTCACGTAATACCAAATTTGGCATATGTGAAGATAGCTAAACGGCCACAAGCGCATCATCAGTGTGGCATGTAGTCATGTTGTTACATCACAGTTGTCGTGATTATCAAGTTTGGATGTGTCTTTTACCTATGTCATTCGTTCGCATCGCACAATACCGAGTTTCGTACATGTGAAGCTAGCGAAATGGACGCGAGCGCATCATGAGCGTAGCATGTAGTCATGTTGTTACATGAGACGCATCTCGTGTTTATCATGTTTGCACCAGTGGAATACCTTTGTCATCCATTCACGTCCCGTAATACTAACTTTGGCATAAGTGAAGCTAGCGAAACGGCCGCCAGTGCATCGTTAGCGTGGCATGTAGTCATGTTGTTACATGACACGCATCTCATGATTATCATGTTTTCGCTAGTCACATATCTTCTTCATCCATTCACGCACTGTAATACCAAATTTGGTGTATGTGACGCTAGCGAAACAGCCGCGAGAGCATCATAAGCGTGGCATTTAATCATGTTGTTACAAGTCACGCATGTCATGATTTTCATGTTAGGGTCTGACGCTTGTGTGCGCCATGCAGTAATGACATACCATACCAGTTTTGCAACATCCAATGTGAACAAAACCACAGCAAGAGCTGCACAACCATGAAATGTACATAATGACATACATGGCATGATTTTCATGTTACGACTAGTCAGTTATGTTCATCATACAGTCATGTTATATTATACCAAGTGTGGTATTCATGCTATCATTAAAACGGCCAGGACAGCTAAAAGTCGCTGAAGTTCGCTAAGAAATGCCTCGCATTTAAAAGTTGGCGGAAAAGTTTGGTCAGCATAGCACGCGATTCCGGCCACAATCGCCGTTGGACGCCTTCGTAGGCACGCCATGCCTTGGTGGCATCGCGAAGGCGGTCAATGGCTACCAGCCACTTTCGATGCTCTGTTCACCCATGAAGGGGGTGTTGCGAGTTGGTGGTCTCGACCCACGCAAAGACGTTATCCTGGAAACCGTAGAACTCCGGCATCGCCCAAATAGTTAAAGTTGGCAAAGCGGCAGACGATCAGGTGAAGTTAAACGGGGCCAGACGATCTAGTTGCCCTAAGGCACTGGTGGTAACTTGCCGATGCATTGCAAGTCGTGTGGTTGTATGCCTCTTTTTGATAAGGTGGCAATTTTAGGTAGGGCCAAGACGCAGCGTGAATGGGAAATTATAGAGGCATTCAAAATGAAAAATTGGGTCCTAACAATTGTGCTTGTGCAGCTTCTGCTTATTTCACCAGGAAAGAATGTTTCATCTAGCAGAAAGATTTACTTAGATAAGCTTGCTTGGTTTTTGTTTTGGTGTGTTATCAGCGAATGCGTTAGCATTGACTTGGGAGGAAAGCTTTTTCCAAAATAAAGGTAAGTTGTTAGTGCTACGTCTCTGCTCTTTGTCCCTGTTTCTGCTGCTCTACTTTTTCCAATTTCGACGTGTTCTGATTTCTATAGGTAACTAAGTATGTACCAACTTGCCCAACAAGCAACTCTCCTATTGGTTTCTGGCGGCAACGTGTTTGTGAGACATACGACTTGAGTGTGTTGAGATTAAAGGCAGCACATCATAGCAACGTGATGAAATATCCTGTAAGGTCTTCTTGAGCGTGTGCATAATCAGCGTGGTTCAATTCAGGTAATAATTATTTCGTTCGATAGTGTTGCGGCGTCAGCGCTGCTCCTCGGCAATAGCAAACGCAACGGGTGGACCCGACGTGGGCTGCTGCCACTCAAATATGTTTGGCGCGTGAACTCGGGTACAAACTTGTTGATTCTCAATAAAAGCCCGAGATGAATTCATGCCTTTTACAGTGCCGGTGTGACTGCAAACTTTTTCATGCGATTGACTCTAAGCAGCACTTTTTTTGCGCATAAAATACTTTGGTTAGCTTCCGTTAGTTGTAAAAGGCTAGCGCCATCAAAGGAACTGATGATAACCTAGTTTTTTTCAGAGTTTCAGAAGGCTCAACGCCTCCTCCGTCTATTCGGTCTGGTTCGAAGGAAAGACCACGTCAGCTTGATCTCAATTGGGGAGGTAATAATTAGCTACTACTAATTACGCAGATCCTGATTACCACAAACTTTAATGGTGCTGTCCTAACTTTATTTTAACACAGCATGAATTAGCTTAGGCTTAGTTAAAGACACCTTAGCTCTAGTTGGGCTAATTGTCATATTACCATATAAAAATTTATGCGTTTCTAATTTACATGTTTCTAAAGAATATGGCTCTAGTTAGCATGGTCTAAGAGACTGTCACTTCCATTAGCATGACCCTGAATAGCTCGTTCTTCACATGACCTGTTTTTAATTAGCTTAGCCATAGCATGCCCTGAAATAATGGGCTAGATATAACACCTAGCTAATAGGCTCGGTGAGACAGCACGTGGAGAAAAAGATTGCAGCCGCCAGCTGACCAATGCGCTTGAAGCTACAGGCCGCGATTACAGTGCACGTTGCATTGGAGATTATTTCCAGTAGGGAGTCGTTGACACGCCAGAGGTCATCTCAGAAGCCACGGTAATGGTTAAGGATACATAGCACAAGCACCAAACGCTTGTCAATGAATTTAAACAGTCCGTACCCCTCAAAAATATCGCTAAAATAATTGGCCGTTGAATGTGTTTACACTGTACCCAGTGAAACGGCAAACAAATAAAAGATATCTTTGGCTTGCGGACATCAAAGAAGGAGACAACCGGGCGAGTTTGTATGTATTTATTGTTATCAAAAAGCGCGCACTTAAGACGAGGATAAAGAAAGAGGAACACGACCCAAGTGCTTATTTTCAAGCGAAGTGTATTGAAAGAAATAGAAAAAAATATTTTATGGGAGCTGAGTCACCACACAGAGAATATTACGGAAAGATATACGTTTATTATTGCTTAAACATTAGCCTGAAAACGGTAAACGTGGCGCCGTGATAGAACACCTGGCGATTTTTTCCCAGCCATTACTTTCTTTGTACTACAACTGCTTCAAATGTCGGTGTAGATCTTTCATTTATTCCTAGATTGTGAAAGGCTACAGACTAGCTAGGAATCCATTTTGGAACAAAATTGAAATAGCGCAGCAACAAAAAGCGGGAAAAGTCATTTACTTTCTTTCCATTCTATCACCCGCGCTTCGTCACTACGCTGTTTGTTTGCATTCCTCTTTGACTCTTTCCAGACATCAGCAGTAGATGGAAGTGGAGTAGAGCAGGAGGCTTTTCTCGGTGGCCGCACTCTGCCGTCGTACGCCTTGGCGGTGTCTGTGGTGGCGTCCACAGCTAACGCCGTGAGCATCGTGGGCTTCGTGGGACATTACTTCGCTCACGGATTCCACTTTATGTGGCCCGGGGCAGCCATACCCCTAGCAGCCGCAGTGGCTGCTACGGTGATGGTACCGCTGCTTTATCGCCTGCGGGTTGCCTCTGTGTTTCAGGTGAATAAACTAGTACATGCATGTGGCCACCCTTTATTCAGAATTTTGTTCTTCATTTGCCACCTTTATCTCAAAAATGCTGACAGAATAAGTAAATTAGAAAACTGTTAGTACCTGCAACATTCAAAGGTGGTGGGCGTTATTACTTGCTCTACCAGTGAATTTGTTTACGAAAATCCTAAACGCGCTTGCTGATAACTGTAGAAGTTTGGATAATAAATGTTTCTGAATAATGAATGTAATATTTAATGCAAACTGATGCAAATACCAGTGGCATGTTGATTAGTGTAAACTCATTGCGTTGAGCATTCCCACTATTGTTTCCTCCGTATTGTTACACGTACCTACGGTAAGGGTATTCAAAAATTATATAAATAAGTGACAAAAACTCAAGTGGAAAACACCTCCGCACCAATATCGTGAGTGCCTAGGTCCAAACAGACTGTTTCCGGAGATTGCGGATGGATGACAACCGGAAGGAGACGTGGAGGAGAACAAAGAGCGAGTTACACACGAGCAGTCGAAAAAGCATGGAGTGCTTGGACAAGGGCTCAGGCACATTACTACGCGACATAGACCACCGTTGCCGCAACGTCGAGATTGTTCACGTCTCTCGCATGAAACCGTTCACGCGACGTTCCTCTTCACTTTGACTTATGGTGGCCAGGATATCCGGTTCCACGTGGGGGAAATGAGTGGGAGCGTTCGTTGTTTACTTCGTCCCTATTCCTGCGTGATCGTAACCACCCATCATTCACTTGCCTCGGTCATCATCACCACTGTGTGTAATCGTCCTCGTCATCATCTGGGTGCATGCTCGGCCCATTCGTTTTCTGACGTCTTGCCTCGAATAAATGCCGTCGCCACCAGAACTTCATACGTTTTACGTACGAAGAGCGCTTTGAACTTATGCAGAGCTATAGGGATATCCTGGCCCTCAGCCAAATGCGAGTCACTTAGACAGACGGAGCGGCGCTTAAGTGGTTCTGACTGGTCGGTTATTGTCAACTGTACCATGCAGTGAGCTCAGTTGTGTCGGCTACAGCACTCGCAAGACCACCACGCCAGCATTGATTCATTGCTGTCGGCCAAGTCTTTATAAAATGTAGGGATACCCAAGTGTGATAAATGAGCTGGAAGCATTCATATACCTCTTCTTAAAAAAGACCCCCTGGCCTGCGCAGAAGTCGTTGCACAGCCACAGTGAAAGCTGGAAGAGCGGCCTTTCAAAGCATTTTTGAATAATATTTGGGCAATTGCCACAACCGCACTTGCAGAGTATCAATTACGCCATAAATGTACAGAATTTTTCTGTAGCTGGCAAGCATTCTTTCTTATCGTGACATAGACTTGCCGTGAGGGCATAAACAATACCATCCTTTGTAATTCTACGTTGAAGCGTGGTACCCGAGACACGATTGCAAGAAACTTTGCCGCAATTCTTTCATGCTGTGGCTGACGACAGTGAAGAAATATGCTTCAGTACTGGGCATGAGAATTGAATGACCCACTAGTTACGCAATTTCAATGGTGTCACGCCTTTTATATCTTGGTTCTTCTAAAACGCTTCATTACTTATATTAACGCAATTCCTATGCCGGCGTCAAGCCTGCCTAGGTCAGCTTTGAACGGTGTTTCGATCCAAGCCTTGGCTCAGTGGTAGAACACTGGGCTAGCCTGCGCCAGCCCAGTGCTCTACGCTATTAACATCCGAGCTAGCGAAGTTGCTGTATGGTTGCATGGTATACTGTCTGTCCAGTTTCTGTACACGCAAAGTAATCTACACTCCATGGGTAAACTCTTGAAGCAAACTTAGAAGCGCAGCGCCCAACTGCCGTTATGCTGTGGGGTTATTTGTTGCTACTGCCTAAATGGTGCCCCGTATTACTTCGTATGAAGTATTTCTCTTGTTCTTATGCAGTACATTGAAACTTATTTCTCGAAACAGTACCTGCGAATGCGATTCGACAACAAAGTCGGCACCACTGCTTGCATTGTCTTCTTTATCCTAAGCGTAAGTAATATGCATAAATTTGCTTGCCATTTTTCTGCAGACGAAAGCATGTTGCAGCGAGAAAGTCGAGCGTGCTTGTGTCACTGCATTGCTTAAAAAATCACAGCATATCCATGGAGTGAATGATGATGAGTGGGGCGAAGCTTCGGAGCGTTTTATTGATAGACCACGAATCGTCCATTCGTCTGCCTGCCTGCCTGCCTGCCTGCCTGCCTGCCTGCCTGCCTGCCTGCCTGCCTGCCTGCCTGCCTGTCTGTCTGTCTGTCTGTCTGTCTGTCTGTCTGTCTGTCTGTCTGTCTGTCTCTCTGCCTGGTTGTCTGTCTGTCTGCCTGCCCGCCTGCCTGCCTGCCTGCCTGCCTGCCTGCCTGCCTGCCTGCCTGCCTGCCTGCCTGCCTGCCTGTCTGTCTGTCTGTCTGTCTGTCTGTCTGTCTGTCTGTCTGTCTGTCTGTTTAACTGTCTAGTGAACACTGCAAGTACCGCGATGTCGCATCTTTTCATCATGTATTCATCATATACAAGTACCGCCATCCATCCGACATTCCGAGGACTAAACCAGTGATGAATACCATCGAGGACGCACGAACCAGGGCTGATGAAGCTTCGCCCCTGAAAAAAATGTGTTGTTTTGATGGTTAATAGAGTTTATTGGCGCAAGGGCCAGATGTGGCTAAAGAGCATCAGAGCAAATGTGTTGTTTTGGTGAAGTCGGCACTTTCTGTACAATTTTTAACAAAGTAATTAACAGTAACAATGCCAAGAACAACAAAACAGTGCGTTCTCGCTCATCATGACCTTTCATGCGTTATTATAAAGACAGAAGCCCAATTGGAAAGGCCACTTTAGAACACAAGACTGCCGATTCAGATCACCTGGCACCCTGTTGGTGAAAAGTACAACAATTTTGAAAATTGAAGGCTTCATTTTTTTAGTGACAGGTAACCGCCTCATCCAAATTATTTAGCAATGGAGTGTTATAAGAAACCTCAAGTTGATCGCGCTTTCTTGTTGTAAATATAGCATTCGCACACTCTATCTAGATTATACGACAAGCAGAAGAAGACCACAATGACACCACTAACGCTGATCCTCTGTTCAAGTTTGGCATACTGCTCTCTTTTGCTGATTTTCTGGCCGCTTTGAAGAGGCTATTTACCTTTGCGATGATACCTAAATTACCACAGATTTCATGCAACTATGTCACTATACATAAGGGGTATGTTTGTGCTGGCACTTGTGCGATGAGGTCTGCTATCACGGTTTAAGCTGAGGCGTTGCCAAGCAGCAGGACGTCTCTGCGGCCTCTTCTTGAAAGTGTAGTTTGCTAGAGTACACCCAGAAATGGTTATAAAATTATGAAGATACGATCAGCTTAGCCGAAAGCGCGGTATGTGGCTCTAAGCACTAAGAAAAAAAATATAACTGTAAGCGAAAGGCAAGCCGCTCATATTATTCGGTTAAGAACAACAAGGACGAAGATGCTCATAAGAGATTCAACAAAGAGCACAGTAGAAGCCTAAAAACAGAAAAAGAGAGGTTAGGAACTTGAAGAAAGGCCACTCAGGCAGCAGAAAAATTATAAAACGTGCTACGCTTAGTTTGTTGTACGATACTAATGACAAAACAATGAAGTGTTCGAAGTGAATGAGTAAGCACACCCTTTAATAATGTTCTCAGAAGAAGAGAAAGAGTGGAGGCCCCGCCAATCTGTCTGGCAGCTCCACCGTGGTTAGGGTCCATAGACAGAACGGCTCGGGCCCTCTGGAGAGCCTTGAGTGGAGCAATGAGCTCTGGACTTTTAAGTTGTACCCCAGGAGGAACGTTGGAGAAAGTCGGTGCCCGCGTTGGCCGGGCACGATCCGAGCAATGTCTCGGAGTTGTATTCATGGCCACAGTTTAGATATTCAGTAGAAAGCTGACGATGCATCCTGCTTAGTATCGTTGTATGAAGTATGTTGTAGTCTGCAACTCACTGTAAGTTATGGTCTGTGCTTTACTAAGGTTTGGGGAGAAGAAAAGTTCATTTCTTTTTCCTAATCTATGATGTGAACTGAGTTCTCGGTAAGACACAATCGGGTCTTCGTGTTCTCCAGGCTGGGTGGAAGCGAGTGGGTGGACCGCAGATATGAAATGTGAGTTTTCTCGCCAAATGATGTCTCATGCCATTTAGAAAGCCTCACAATAATACGCCGAAAACCATGTTATATGTGAGCACGAGAGGTTGTCTTGTCCCATTTCTGGGAAAATTTAGTTGAGAACCGTAGTGGCTTACCAAGAGACGAGGGCCACCGAAAAGGTCGAAATGAGTGTCATGGAGTCCGAGTAAATGACACAGGCTCTCATGCGGCCTTCAAGGGTCACTACGATGGCTATATATTCTGCTTCATGAGGTTGCTTAACTTGCACTATGAAATCGGTGAGCGCCCATCATGGCGATGGCGCAGGCGCCTTGATTCCAATAGTCACGTCAACGAAGATGACTGGTGCTTCGTTGCATTTGATCATGTGGAATATTGCCTTCGCTACCGCTTTTCTCCGGCCTTGGTTTTGAATAAAGTCTACACTCGTAGTGACTGGGTCAACGGTAATTGATTTCTAGTTGCAATTTCTCTGGTGAACAAAGAGGGCTTCTTTGTCTGCTTGCAAGAAGGTCACAGTACCTACCCTTAATAGTGAGAGCAGACTAGTTTGGGTGCTTCGTTGAGCCTGAAAAAGGTGCTTTGCCACGTTGTTCAGCCCCAGTAACAGAATCTATTCATACACGTGTTTTCTAGAAGGATTAAGACCATTTTAAATATTCTAGTTATTCTGTTCATTTTGTTCAGCTTCATCTTCCAGTTGAAGAAGGAAGCAGCGTAGGTTACGTGGCCGCTAATAAAGCCGTTATATGCTTGAATTAGGCTGTCCTCCTTCAGTCTGTGCCTTTTTCTCGTGGCCTGTCATAAGACGCTGGTGTTGTGGAGGGTGCTCTTGTCGATGCGTTCAAGTGTATCCGCACTGTCTGTCATAATATGTGCTGCGCGGGCGCGAAACAGAAACTAAAAAAACGACAATAGTGTGCCGTGCGGTGGCGAAGAGGATGTGATGTGTGCGTGTATGTGCCGGGCGGTGCCTACGAGGAAGACGACAGATCGTGAGGCGCGGCCTCGAGCGTGGGTGACCCGTGCCTTCGGCAGTGCGCGAGGTACGTCGTTCGAGGCAGGACTACCTCGTTGGGCGTCTGGCCCATAGGTACGACCCAGGCCACGTCGCGACACTCGTACCAGCCGAGTGGACAGCTCAGCCTCCGCTAGACGACCGGTCTAGGAGAGCTGGCGCCAGGTTCCTGAACCGGTCCTTGTCCCGCTAGTCGTGGAGAGCTGGCGCCGGGTGCCTGAACCTGCCCTTGCGCCGCTGTTCCAGGAGGGCTGGCGTGGGTTTCCGAGGCGGACTACAGGTGCTCAAGGGCACAACTCCCTGCCGCCGGAACACGTGGGTCGTCGGCTCCGGTTCGTCGACAGTGGCGCTGAGCCACTGGAGTTCGACGCGGCGACCCTGCGTCTCCCGACTTCGTCACGGCAGGTGACGACGCCGCCCAACGTCGACTTCGCCACTGAATCCTGGCCGACGGGCGACGCCGCCCAACGCCGACTTCGCCACTGAATGGTGCCGACGGGACATCAACGACGGCCCAGGCTACTACCCCGACAACCTGAACTGTAGGCCGAACGTTCTACTTATTCAGTTAGTTTAGCCGCGTGTTTTTGTGTTAGGAACTTCGTAATGTGTGGGTTGTCCATGTGTGAAGGGTACAATAGAAGTTGGACGTGTGTTTGTGCACTGGCGTGCTGTCTGATTCTTTCTGGAGCGGTCCTGCCCCAATAACATCACAAACTGGCGAGCCTGCCAGGATCCGCTCGTTAAACCAGGGAAAGAAGACAGTTTCGCTCGAGGCAGACACACGTTCAGACTGCACCATGGACTTGGAAAAACTCGCCGCTATAGGGCTCCAACTAGGGTTCTCGGGTGCAGAGCTAAACAAGTGGATTGAGGCCCAACAGGCTAAGCTAAGGGATGAGAGAGCTGCAGAGCGAGAGGCAGCCAAAGAAGCTGACGAGAGGCAGCGTGAAATTCTGCAGCTTAAGATAAAGCTTCAGGAAGGAGCTCAGAATATGCCTGTAGCAGCTAATGACGCTTTGACTGCGCCCAGCACCTCCTCACCCCTCAATCCGCAGAAGTTACTGCCTGTATTTGACGAGAAACGCGATGATCTGCACGCGTATCTGCAGCGATTCGAGCGCGTAGCCACAGGAGAGGATTGGCCGCAAGAAAAATGGGGTCTCGCTGTTAGCCTGTGCCTAACGGGTGACGCGTTAACCGTGATAGGCCGAATGACTGCCGCTGATTCGCTGAACTACCAAAAAGTAAAGAAAGCTCTACTGCAGAGATTTCAGTTTACGGCTCAAGGCTACCAAGATAAGTTTCGGAAAGCACGAGCAGCAGATGGTGAAACTGGACGACAGTTAGCAGCAAGAATTACCAGTTATTTCGACCATTGGATAGACATGGCAAACGTATCCCAAACCTATGAAGGTCTAAGGGATCACGTAATCTCTGAGCAATTCTTGCGTTGTTGCCATCCAAAGCTGGTTGTTTTCTTAAAAGAGCGAGAGTGCAAGTCACTAGATGAACTCGCTAATTTGACGGATCGCTTCCTTGAGGCGCAGAATTTGACTAATATAGGAAAAGGTCCTGACCCCGCGAAAGAATCCAGTGGAAAGCCTACCGAAGCGTCGCGGAAACAGCAACTCAAGTGTATCCTGTGTCATCGTTTCGGACATTTGGCTCCTGACTGCCGCAATCCACCTAAGCAGATGCTGAAATGCAAGTTGTGCGGTAAAACGGGACATGTCACAGAAAATTGCCGAAACCAGCATGGGAACAACAAACCGAGTTCTTCGTGCGCATTTAGCGAACATGACTCTGCCCGGGCTGGTGCTAGAAAAACAGCCAAGCGTCCAGGA